AAATGTGTCTCTGGACGGGGGCGGTTCTCCGGGGACTTCAGCAATCCTAGAAGCAACCATGTCTACAGTGTACATCACAACATTGTCATCGACATCACAACCCATGTATGTTCTTGTATGTATATATATATACACACATGCTACCCCCTTGACATGTCTACCTTTTTGGTTTGCTAGCATGGTTTTTAGTCATGTGATTGAATGCAAGAATCTAAGCAGAACGGCTGACCAATGCACACAGATATGGGCAGATGTTTTCCAAGGTTGAATTAGAGAACACAGATACATTCCAATTCATATTGTTAGTTGTATCTAATGCAGTTGCAAATGCTATAATTGATTGATATAATTGATATTGTGAATTTCAAAATTATCAAGTCAAATTGTTACTCGTACATTGGATTTGAGTAATTCAACGTGTGAATCTCATGGTGTACAAGTGTGAAGACCCACAAAAAAAGAACAATTGACAGAATAAATTGTGTATGTTACATGACAATGAACATTATTATTATTACTTTTTTTTTTAAATATAAACACTCCAATTCATACTGTCAGTTGTACCCAGTGCACTGATATTTGATGATTACAACTGATTCTATGAGTTGTTAGTTTGCCTCTTTACACTGTGACATTACATTTAAACACCTCGAATTAGGAATTTAGTTCTTTACATTTGCGACAGTCACACAAACAAAATCGTTTTATAAAATCAATTGTTGAGATAACAAACCAATTTTAAACACTGCAACTCACATTGATTGCAAATATGAGAACTGATGAATATAACTGACGATGTGAGTTGTAAGCCTTATGAATTCACACTATAACATTGGGTTTGCACAACTAAAACATTGACCTGCACGCTTTTTAATTGTGATTATCACAGGGTAACACATAAATTCGCAGAGCTATTTGTGTGCATGACAACTTATAATGACATATGTTAAGATTGCAACTCATATTGTCATGTTGTCAATCAAGTGTTGACCTGCACATCTGCATAAGAGATTTGATGCAGACAACTGATAATGTACATTGTTAGCATTCTCATACCTTCAGTTGTATCTAAGGCAAGTGTAAGGATGAGAACTGATGAATGCAACTCTCACATTGAAGTTGAAAAACTCAATATACGCATTGTTTTTGACAATTGTGACAATCACAGATAAACATTGCAATTGACAGGCTCACTTGTGTTTATGACAACTTACAATGTTTATATAATTGCTGCAACTCACACTGTTAGTTGTATGAATGCAACTGACTATGTGAGTTGTGAGTTAATACAATTGACATTATTACATTAGGTTTGTACACCCGACATGTTGAGCTGAACACTGTACAACTGTGAATATTACACAGTAACACAACAATTCACGAAATTACTTGTGTACACTACAATGTGAGATATTTTTGTGATCACCGCAAGTCATTCTATGACTTGTACCAACTGCAAGTTTCAATATGAACGTTGATGAATGCAACTTGTTATTTTGAACTGGATGCTTTACAACCGTGGCAATCGCACAGTAACTTGACAATTGACAGGTTCACTTGAGTAGGTCTTAGGACCTGTCAGGTTCTAAGATCTAAGATCTGCGATTACCCAACATGTTTAGGGATAATCTTAGATCTGAGAACCTCATAAGTCTGAAGACTTTCCTAAGACCAAGTATTTCCCAAGCCCGCTATTTCGCAGTCAAACATAGAAGTAATTTCACCAGCTCTTTTTGGATAGAAGAAATCTCAAAATGGCAGTTGTATATAGAGAAGACAGTTCAATATGTGAGTTAGATAGAGAAATCTCAAAGTGTTAGCCAGTGAGAATTGAACTCAATATGTGAGTTTTGATAGAAGTAATCTCAATATGCCAGTCAGAGCGAAATTCAACAGATAATGGCGCAAGTTTGGCGTTTTGTGTTGGTTATGGGTTTTTGCAGACATTTCCAAACATGATAAAACATGTGCAACAATCTTGAAACTGCACCCTGCCCGGGGAGATGGATACACACTCTTTATATAAGCATATCACATTCTGCTAGACATTTAGGTCTTTAGGTAGACTGTTTGCCAAAAAAAGGCTGGCTATCAGACATACGGCTTCTTTCAAGCCGTACAAATGTACTGTGATTTGCAGTGTCCATTTTTCAATTTGCGTACGCGGAAGGTCGATGCCCGTGGCCGCAGTGCATTGAATTAATTAAGTAAATGCAGTGGGCCCTTCAGAAGTCAGCGCCGATAGGTTTTTCCTCATCGATATTCATCGATGCGCTCTGGTAAAGTTATTCCCAGGTCTGCGATTGGGCTCCTTCGGGCTTGCAGCATACTCCCCAGTCAAGAGTCTAGAGAGAACTGCAACAAAACTGACTCACTTGTCAAGGAGGTCAGCAAAAGCAGGGCCGGCCGCTGCGCTGACACATACCCACAAGGGTTCACAAGGTAGTAAAGGGTGTAAACATGCCACGGTTTTCCTGTGGGCGCGCGCAGGCGATCACATTGGCACTCACCACGCCCTGTGCATTTGCACAGTTCTGCTTTCTTCACCTTGGAAAGCCACCTTTCATCGTGCTTCCACTGCACTTTCGTTCCAGCTTGCCCTGCATGTACTTCAGGTCGTCGCCGAATCTCTGCTTTTGGGACTTTGGAAAGCTACCTTTCACGGTGCTTCCACTGCACTTTCGTTCCTGGTTGCTGCATGTACTTCAGGTCGTCGCCGAAGCTCTGCTTTTGGGACTTTGTAAAGCTACCGTTCACGGTGCTTCCACTGCACTTTCGTTCCTGGTTGCCCTGCATTTACTTCAGGTCGTCGCCGAGGCACTGCTTTTGGGACTTTGTAAAGCTACCTGTCATGGTGCCTCCACTGCACTTTCGTTCCTGGTTGCTCTGCATGTACTTCAGGTCGTCGCCGAAGCACTGCTTTTGGGAATTTGTAAAGCTACCTGTCATGGTGCCTCCATTGCACTTTCGTTCCTGGTTGCCCTGCATGTACTTCAGGTTGTCGCTGAAGCACTGGTTTTTGGACTTTGGAAAGCTACCTTTCATGGTGCCTCAACTGCACTTTCGTTCCAGGTACTGCGGGTCGTCGCCGAAACTCTGCTGCTGGGGCAGCCAAAGGCCTCTGTTGGTTCCTATGTCCTGCTTTCACTTCCGCTTTCCTCTCTGACCCATCACTTCCTTGTGTGTATGTCTGTTGTTCTCCAAAATTCTTCATCAAGAACATCTGCGGAGTTGGAGACTGAATAGGTGAAAACACCCGCAAAAGCCAGCGCCGTCAACCATTCAGAACCAGCAAGCACGGTGTGATCCCTATGGCAAAACGGCGTGCTCTGTGGCACTGGGGTTCGAAGCATTCTAACTGCTGCTAGATTCATCTTCGAGCCCTGATTTGCAATTTAAAAACCACCACATCCATTTTTCGCTGGCGCCAACACTATATTTGAATGTTTTTTCAACATGACATGCGATATGCAAAACCATCACGAGGGGAGATGAACGCATACATTTCCAACATCTTGCATTACTGTCTTCAACTTCGACTTGTTCACGTGGATTTTTCCATAAAGTCCGTTTCTCTTAGCATCTTTTCAATGCACCAAAACATGCACATTCTATCAGAAGCACAGCCAGGCTCCGCGTTTTCGACTTGTCTGATGTTTTTTGTGTCGTTTCCGCCCGGAGAACCTCCCGTCTGGAGCCTCAAATGTGGCTCACTCATACATGTGGATGTGTGCCAAGATGGGGTGGCAGACTATTGGCAAAACTTCTATTTATATACATTGTAAAATCTATATATTTTTTTCTGGCCGCTCCAGGAGTATCCGGAGAACATAAGGGAGATCATTCGCGAGATTCAGGCTGGAGCGTGCAAGCAGCGAGAGAAACCAGATGCGAAGATGATTGATATTGAGTGATATACAGTGTGTGCGTATATACATATATATATATACACATACAAACTTATTGATTATTGGAACACAACACTGAACACTTATGACTTAGCTGGATGTGTGTAGATTTGATTTCTTTCAGAGTTTTTCCATGCTGCAGTAACAAGTGCCACGCTAGTAGTAACAGGTGCCTTACTGGTAGTAACAAAAAACTATTATTCCATGCTGCACATCCGGACAATTTCACCCCCCCTTTTTCAGGGCTACATCTTCACACGACGCATCCGCGTGAAGGCGACCTGCCGTATCTTGAGAAGTTGAGACCATTTGGTGGGTAGCCACAATGGTGTTCGTCTGCACATCAATAGTGCACAAGGTTGACATAAGCCTCTTGAAGTGGGACGAACAAAAATGACTCGCAACTCGCAGTCATAGGTCAAAATCCCAGCCACCAAGATCAAGGATGTTTTTTCCAGATCCAAACCTAGCTCCTCCAAACCCAAGCCGGTTGCATGCTGCTCCAGCTGTACTGCACAAACAACTCTTGGCACAGACTGTCAAATTTGCAGTTTGGGTTTTATCCGTTGAGATTTTTATTGTTGCAGGACATTTTCCTGGACTTTGATCCCTTGAGATGTGGCCGATGCACTCCGTATCAGTTCGTACGAGGATTGAATAGCATTGCACCAGCCTCAGGTGCTGGCATGCAGTGTCCCAATCAAAAATCATGGAGAGCTTTGAACTGCAAGGCCCGAAACCGTTAGATCCCTGTGGATTCCAAACATGCTCTCTGAGGCACCTCAGCTGACTGCCCATCAGATGAGGATTCTCACAGCTGTGGCCTTGGATGTTTTGCACGTAGAGTTTATAGATGGAGTTGGGACCCGTTTCTTCAATGAGCATTCCACCACATTGAGATGTTACTTGAGCTACTTAAGCATGATTGTAGCGGGAACCTGGGGGGACTTGGGCATGACGTTTGCATGACATGACTCTTGACTCATACTCGTGCGCGCTCTGCGCGCCCTGTGCCCGTGTCGGCCCAAAGCGGGTAGCCTTTGAAGTGCTTTATCTGCCCCGCAGGGGTCTGACCGCAACGACCACCGCAGGATGAGCTGGCTGCGTTCAGTTAGCGCTTTGATCACCATATGTGCCTGTGCTTGGCCGGGCGCGGTGGGTCAGGGCATGCCGAAGATTCACCACTCGGAGAGCACTGAGGAGTACTTGAGTAAGTACTACATTCCCGTAGAGGAGCACTTCATCACCACCGAGGACGTCATGGTAATGTATGGTATGTAGGTGCTGTGAGACATCATGGGAAGAAAACACATGCGGTTGGTTTGTTTGCATAGGGTCTATCCTTTTAACCCGAAGCTCATTTCATCTGTCAGCCTTTGTGATTCACCAGCGAAGCCTGGCCCTGCAGTCCACTTCATTCTCTGGGTTGGGCTTGCAGCGCACTTGTCCTTGTGCATCTCTCAATCAAAGTGGGTAAATAAAATCCAGAATCTAGGGTGTCATTTCCTATTGAGTTGGAGTGGTTGAGAACTTGATGGATAGGATCGGGCAGTGTTAGGGGGGCCTGTTTGGCGCATTGGAGGACAAGTATATCTTGCGCTCCTTTCGCCTGCCTCGACAGGGTGCACCTGTGGTGCTGCTCCAGCATGGAGTGTTGGCATCTTCTTGGTGCTGGCTGGTGGGGGACGGTCAAACAATCAGCTAACCTCCCCAAAGAATTGTCATTTTCAGGTATTTTATGTCTTCAAAAAGCATGTGGCACTTGTGAACATGCTAGAAAGCTGTTTTCCAAGAGTTTCCCAAAGGAAAAAGTGTTTTCTTACAGAAAGAAGTGCTTGGAGCACACCCCAGCAACGCTTGCGTGCACAATGCTCAAGGTGAATACCCCGAACCGCTCCTTGGGTATCTCTTTGTGGAAGATGGGCTATGATGTTTGGCTCACAAACAGCCGCGGAAATACCTTCAGTCGCAATCACACTGAATTGAAGCCCTTCCTCGATAAGCAGTTCTGGAACTACACATTTGACGACATGGGCTATTTTGATGTAGTGGCCAATGTCCGTTATATTTTGAATGCTACTTCAAGGAAGGATTTGACCTTTGTTGGCTGGTCCCAGGGCACGTCGCAAATGTTTGTGGCTGCACAGGGCCCAGACCGAGACTATTTGAAGAGTCATGTGAACTTGTTTGTTGCCCTATCTCCTGTGACGTATCTCACTCACCAGTCATCTCTTCTGTTGAGTGTTGCTCAGAAGTTCCGCTTGGGAGTGATCCTGGAGAAGGCCTTTCCCTATGATGTCTTCAGCTGGTCCGAGCTGCCCACGCTCGGCTCTCTTCTTTGCAAGGCGGGTGGGCCAAGACAGCAAGCGGAACAAGACGAGGTACCCCCTTCTGATGGCAAACAAGGGCAGAAATGGGTAGTCAGGGTACTGAATTCTTCTCGATCTCGTGCATTCCCCTTGATGGGTGAAGTGTCTGAAGTGTCAAAGGTCCAATTCACCTGCAAGCCTTTGAGGCTTTGGGCTCAAAAACGCTAGCTTGTCGTGCAGGGTCATCAGTCCCTTTATCCTGAAAATATTCATTTCCTGAGGGTTCTTTGCTGAATTCTTGCGAACCTTGATGTTTGGATTTGCCATACGCACACACACACACACACACGCACATACACATTGAGGTTGCTTGTTAGTTGTTCACCAACACGTCCAGGTGACTTTGGGTGTGATTTGCGACATCACGGTGGATGTGATCTGCGGGCGCTCGCAGAAGGATTCCTCAGATGCCATATTGAACTTGGCCGCACACTTCCCGGCCGGCACCAGCATCAAGGATTTGGGGAGGTGTGGAGGATGTGAGGCAAGGAAAAGGAACATTTTATATCATTTTATATAAGAAGTATCAAAAAGGAGAAGATAACGTCGCGGTTGTTGTGCAAGCAACATTTTGTCTATGAGGTGACTGGTGTTGCTTGATTATGCAGGAAAAAAACCAAAGCTGCAATGTCGTAGACTATGGTTCCGAAGTATGCTCGCCACTGAGGGCGAAGCATAGTGCCACAGAGCGCCTGTTGTGCGGGTCTGGTTCCCACTTTTTGCAGGACCTGGACCACTACGAGCAGTTCATTGACTACGAGCACTTTGGGCGCTTCGATTACGGAACCATGGGGAACTTGGAACACTACGGTTTGGAGCTGCCACCCGAGTACTCTCTGAGCGAATTGGAGATCCCCACGGCTCTCTTCTGTGGCTCGAAGGACACCTTGGCGGGCCCCAAGGATGTGGAGAGGCTGAAGATGGACTTGAAGGGCAACAAGCATGTGGTGTTTTCCAAGGAGTACGAGGCGAGGCCAGGCGAGGCAGCAAGGTACATGAGGCTGAATGCCCAGATGCAATTCCCAAGACTACTTTAGTTCGGGCTTTTACATGAAAGGTGCCATCAACTATCCAGGTGTAAGATTCATCAAAGACAAGGGTGGAAAGACGTGTGTCTCTACACAGGGCAAGCCCGGTTTCTTGCTGTGAGGACTACTCGCATCTCACATGGATGGTGGGGCTTACAGATGAGTGGATCACCGACCTCAAGGCACTGTTGCGTCAGTACAATCCTGTAAGGCCCATGGAAGCTTCGGAACTGCTTGTGTGAATATGCGATTTAGAATGCCAGTAGCTGCTCCTTTTGTGTCAGCAGCAGCACTGGCTTGACTTTAGGGCAAGTTCAGACTCTGTTTCACTTGAGATCACCGTTTTGCCATTTTGGTGGGATTGAGGTGGAGCTCGTCCCACGTCTGCCATGTTTTGCAAAAGAAGCATGCCGTGGAGCATCCCCAGCAGTTCCAAAGCAGGTTTGTACTGTCATCAAACATGTTTGACCCCCTGTTTTAGGGTAACCGTTCTCTCGTGGGTTCATGTGTTTGGGACGAATACATGGGTTTCATACAAAAAAGAGTTGCTCCACAGCTGCCTAGTAGGGATTCAAGAATCAGTTGCGGCAACCTGGACATTTAAGTCCCAGATACTGGTAGGTCAAGACAGTGTGGCGAGCCTCACTTAAGAATTGGTTGGTGCTGCTATGGTGTCATTGATGGAGCCTCTCCTGATACCTTGCAAGGATTTCTATGCCGATCCGGTGCAAGATATGATGAAGCCGCAGGTTGGCCTGACGAAAGGGTTGTGCAAGATTGGGATTTCCCCTGCTCTTTCTCCTTGACCTTTTCAATCTTTTCCATTTTGAACAAGCTTCTTCAACATTGCTTCAGTAGCAAGGCACCTTTCTATTTGTTGCAGTCCCACTGCTCGGGCAGGTGGTGCGACATCTGGAGTTCATACGAGCAGTAGATGGAGTTTTTGGGGTGCCTTTGGCATGTGCGCACACGCAAGCGACGACTTGGGGAGAGTCCACGTATGGAAATGAGAAACGAGTCAGTGCCTCCAACCAATCAAGACGGTCAATGATGACAATTGATGTCCCATCTAATCATCTAATCCTGGAAAGAATGGGGAAGTCGATAACAAGCTTCACGTGGGCCAGTGAATCTATGATCGCCACCAGGAACTTGGAGGTTCTTGTGACTAAGTGCCCACTGGTCCGTGCTTTGTGAAGCAGAGGAAGCAGACCCAGTTACGGAACCCCTAAACTGAGCAACACTCAATTGACCTTAAGCCATACTCTCAGTCTTTTATGGCTTTGGTACAACCGCAATCCTTCTTCAGTAGACGCATACATGGATTGCTTTGCAACTGATTGTTCCAACAAAACCACGTGAGTATTCGGGAGGCTACTGTACAGAGTCAGTTCCTTGTGACGCTTGTAAACTAAACCACCTGGTCCCATTTCCCAGGCCACCCTTCAATTTTGCATCTGACACTCAGGGCTTCGACTTGGAGAAGCAGCCAGTGGTCAAGGTACCAAGGCGCACATCCACTCCCAACCGATGGAGGTCCGGGGCCGACCGTGGAGTTCGTTGGTTCATTTGCGAGGCCTGGTCATTGCTTGAAGAAGAACGGCGAAGACATCAATCCATGTGACGATGAGGTTTGGGCCTGAAAGACCGGGAAGCTTTGGAACGACGAAGGTGAACGGTGTCGGAATCCACAAGTGGTTGGTGCATGGCCGATGGGGCCAAAACTCACGATGGGGCGCTTGAACAAAGAGTTTAGCGATCCTGCTGTGAAAGGTGTGTTAGGCGCAGATTTCATTGATGGTTCTCCAACCGATCGACCTTCCAAGTCCAATGGGATCTGGAACGCATCGTGTTTGTAAACGTTTCTTGTTGCCTCTTTCTCATCCATGTCATTCAGAGGGACTGCGCACTCTCAGCTTTCAACAAGTAGTCCATGCACTCTCACCCCAAGTCGCCCACAGAGATGTCCGGATCTCCCTCTTTTCGGAGTCCTTCGTTGCAGGCCGCAGTGGAGCAAACCCTGCGGCGACTGGCCTTAATGGTGAAGACCCGTGGCGCAGCTCGGCAAGAACTCGCAGGATCCACCACGAGGGGTCGCTGAGCTGTGAGTTGAGCGCCTAGTAGCGAGGCCAGGAGCCCCTAGTAGCGTCCGATCGCTCCTAGTGGCGATGCCCTTTGCTCCTAGTAGCTTCTTGCTACTAGTAGCGAGGCCAGGAGCCCCTAGTAGCGTTCTCGCTGGCTTTGCCATTTGGCTTTACCCGCTTCGATCGGATCAGGTCATTTTTGCCAACTGCTTTCAGGAGCCGATCTTTGGGGTTGGGAGTCTTCCATGCTGACTCTGATGCAGTCCAATGCCAACTTTCCAACAGCAAGACATAACCAACAATAACAACAAAGATATACTGTATATATTACATATACTCACATACACATTCATTGTGTGTTCATTCCATTTCCACTCGGTTTGATGCAATGAGGAAGTGAACATTCAAGTGACGTGCAGCATCTAACACCCGAGCAGCCTCATTGGACTCTCAGGATGCCGAGCGATCCTTGGACACCTCGCTGTTGTGCCCCAGATTTGCGGGTAAGGCAGGGCAATTTTCGTTTGCATGCATGCTGGGTGTTGAAAACAATCAGGCCAGTCTCAACCGCCTTTTGTTGGTTGTTTTTGTCGGGACCTTTTCAGTTCTTTATGGGCGTGTGCGGGGTAGTCAATGCTGTTGGAAGATTCTTTGTGTGCAGAGGTGACGGAAGCTCAATTCTGCAGCCACTTCCCCTTCATGCAGGCGCTCCATATAGCAGTAAGGTTGGATACCTTTGCTGTTTTATTTTGGTCTCTTTCTGAGACTCAGAAACACAGGACTGATAGAAGAAGCACCCAAAGAAGCCAGCAGGAGATCTCGGAGTACGAGCTGGGCCTTTTGTTGCAGCGCTACTACAACAGCGAGGCTGATGGGATCAACTATATGGCCAGGCCCCCATTGTTTGTGAAACTGTTTGTGTTGTGGGACAATTGAAGGGCTGACCAGACAGGTGTTCACCCGGCGTTCACCGGGTGTTCAATAGATGTTGGCCGTTCGAAAGGCTCCGGTGGTTCCTTCTGGGTGAAATCCAGACCGTGGAGGCTGGAATCCGTCGAACACTGCCCGAGGCGATGGACAAAGATCTACAAGCTTTGGTCGAGGAGCCCTTGCAAGAGAGGCGACATTAGGTCAAGTTGATCTTCTTGATCTTCTTGGGATGTGAAGGGTCTTTGGAGACTATCATGTTGGTTTACAGCAGAAGACCAAAAGGCCAGTTGGTTCTGAGTCAAGTCGGTACCTTTCCACATCCCAGACCTGTCTAGAGTCTGGAGATGTCAAAAGATCCTCACAACGTCCGACTGGGATCTACCGAATTGCCACCGCTGGCAGTTGCATTCTGGGTGGCACCAGAAGCACCTGTTCTGGGCGGCCGGGCAGCCTCAACTGGAGCCCTACAGCTCGACTTCAAGCCTCACAGGAGAAGCAAACAACAATTTGCGGGATTCTTTAACAATATCTTCTTCTTTTTTCTTTTTGAGGCTCGTAGATTTATCAAAGACTGAGCAATAATTATTGTTGCCTTGTTCATCAAACCAATGTGCGATGATGTCTTGCCAAAGCTTGTAGGGCTGCCACTCAGCCACAGCTGAGCCCCCCCTCACTCGCCAGTCGAAAGATGTGACAATACAGCCGTGGTTCTGTTGCAAACTTTTTGTGAACCTACTGTACCCATTGCAAATGCATGCCAATGCCTAAAGGGCAGGGCGCCAAACCACGCGGAACCTGCCAGGACCGCAGCATGGCAGAGACCGATTTGCTGGGAAGGCTTAAAGTGGAGGTGGCCTCCCGTCGGCTGCGGCTACATGGCAGCTTCCAGGATCGGCGGGTGATTGGGATGGTTTGCCGTTAGAGATAGCAAACATTCAATCGATTTCCAACCTATTAGCAATGGCCTCCAACCTAATAGCGATGGCCTCCAACCTACTAGCGATGGCCTCCAACCCAGCCAATGCCAGCGACCCTCCCACCACTGTATCCCACCAGGATCCCGACCAACATGAGCGCACTAACGAGAGGTGAGAACGGCTCGCAACGACAACAGCAAGGACGAAGTCCACGAGAGCAATGTGACAAGATGCGATGAGATTGAACGATCACAACTTCAGCAGCAACGACAAGGCACAACGATGACAACAGGTACCAGGTAACGTAGTGATAGCATCAAATCAGAATACGGACTCAGATGGGCTTCTGCAAAACAGCCTCCATGGGTGGGAATGGTGTCACAGATACTTGTTTATTTTAATTATTATATATATATATATATATTGATTAACTAATTCATCATTATTACTATCTATTCATTTCATTGTATATATGTATATTTTTTTTTCTTTTAAACACTATTTTTTTTACATATTTTATTTTTTTTGGGAGCGTGGAACTTCCCGAGTTAAAACTGGTTCAGCACCCCATGGCCCCCCTCCACCCATGGCCACTCCTCGCAAACCCTGAGGAGGTTGATCGACTGCGAAGGGGCGCGGTGACCATGGGTCAGGCCGGGTTAATTGGGAGAGAGATGTGATGAGTAATGGGGTTGGATTCCTGGATCAGAGGAAGAGGTGTCTAGTGAGCTTCATGCTGTGTTTACTTTGACGGGTGTGATTCTGTTGAGAGGATTATACCTCCCCAACACCACCTCCAACTTGCAGGCCAGAACAGTCTTCACCATCCTTCGGATCGAGCTGGATTCAAAGGCTTTTCCGTGCCAGGGTCAGGGCGGATACCGGCACATGGCAAGATTGTGGCTACTGTGGGAGGTTTCAGGAATTTAGTGAAGGTACATACTTGGCACCATTTGGTTCGGCAAAGCAACAAGTCAGCGAAAGATACTGCTTTGCACATCTGAATTTTGGTGGAGGGTAAATTCAGGCATTTTGCCGCAACCAAAAGCAATGGTGCTACGCAGGTTCAGCACCCCAGTCAGTCGTTGTTGCCCAAATTAGTGGGAGTGGTGCCCATGCAAACGGACCCATGACCCATGCCACGCTTTTTGCTTGTTAAAGACGGTCACGCCTGCCCTGGATCGGCCGAATCCTGCTTTGCGGTCCATTCCTTTGTTACTGGCCCCAACCAGTTGTCAGAGCTTGTCTACTTCGGAGGAGTTGGAGACGCTCCATCGGCTTTATGATTTGAATGGAGCCTTGGCTTGTTATTTCATCATGTTTTATCAGGATTTGATGACGGGCCATCAAGCTTGCTTGCAGGAGGATGAGCCCTGAATATGAACGGCACAATGAGAAACAAAACAACTCACAAATTCTCCTGCCATTCCAAATCAAGCTCCACCGTCCCATGCTGCAAGCAGAAGACTTAATTATATAGTCCGATGTCGCAAGGACTCTTCAACTACCGGGAGTTCTGCAATCAAATCCTGGAGGTCGGATCCTGAACGGTCAGGTTTCCCTTCAACGTGTGTGTGTGTGTGTGTCCACTCCTGTTTCCAAGGACACTACCCTAGTTTCTCTAATCTACCCTACAAGCGTTTCTGTACAGAAGCAGGGGGCCAGCGCATGGCATCACGACGCTGGCCAACGAAGCTAGTGATGTCATGGGAAGCAGTCAGAGACGTCTGACTGTGTACCTGCAATTTTTTAATATACACTAAATTAATACTTCTTGTTGAAACACTCAAGTGAGCGGACTTTGCACTTCTTTCCGTTGAATCAAGTCAAGGGCTAAGTATTCACTTAAAGGGCTAATGCACACCGCGAAGCTACCTGAAATCACGCTCCACGGAGCAACCTTCTCAAGTGTGTGTGACACGTGTGACACGTGTGACACGTATGATGCGAGATGTTGGGCTCCAGGTTCCTTTGGATGCGAAACTGGAAGATTTGTCGCCCATCTCAGCCAGCGAGGCTGAGAAAAAGAGACTGAAAGGTGCTGCGTTTTTGATATTGGATATAAGTGTGACATCATATATATATATACATATGTTGTGACACAGATATTCAGTACATATTGTATATAGATATTTAACATCACAAAACCACCGACGGTTTGCCAGTGAACGATTGCTTTCTGCGGTGGGGGTGAAGGTCACTTGAGGCTGATGCACAGTTCATGATATGCCCATTGGCCCATTGGCTTTCAGCGCTTCTCTGGCGGCCAGGGCCCGCCATACCTAAAGTGGCAAGAGCGTGTCCGCTCGCGACATCCCCTGCAACCAGATGCCGAGGCGCCCTATTGTCAAGCGCATTTGTATTCTGCCTGTTCATATCCACCTAGATGCTTTCTTGCCATCCGAAGACCTCAGTCAATAGCATGGTCTTGTCACTTGTCAGTGCAGTCATCCATTTGTACCAGACTGAACTGTTGTCCCTTTTCTTTCGATTCAGGAGCTTTTAGCAGAAGCTGAGTGCCGCACTCAGACACTCAGGGGACAGTCCTCTTGACAATGGCCCTTCTGACAATGGAAACATGGGTTGTGTCTATACACCAAACATGCGCATAGGTACACATGTCTGGTTCTAGTTTAGTCTCTTGCATGTTTCAGCAGGTTTCCAAACACACCCAGCTCTGTTACCGGTCGGGATGTTGTCTGTTGGAGGGAGGCACCCCATCAGCCTGATCACCGCTATATATTATATATTGTTGTTTGCAACAGCAGCGCTTTTCTTCTGAGCCCAGAATTGGCCACACCAATCAGAAGTCGCTTTCATACATTTATTTACAGAAGTCAAGCTTGGTGGTCGGTGATTCAATAAGAGATGCGGCGACAAGTTTCCCATAGTTTTCCCATGATTCCTATTTTTGAAGCCCTTTGGTGGAATGTGCGTTTGCGCGTTCGCCGTGACGTTGGGAACCGGAAGCATGCGTGGGTAAGTTCGCACGTCGCTTGTGAGCAGGATGATTGGTGCCTGCGAAGGGTTCTCCGGAAAGAACAGCTGCCGTCACCCTTCATCATAGTAAAGTTCAGGAGGATGTACAGGATTGGGCATCAGCAATACGTCCTTAGGTCATGCATACGGGACGCTTTGGTTGTTTTCAGATGCTACTTAGTTTTCTGACTCAAGTTCATCAGTGTGTCATCATCACCATCATTATCACCATCACTCCTAAGACAGCACTTATCATAAATGAATGCTAGACATGTAGATAACCTGTAACAAGATTCAGCCACAGCGTGTGTAGACATTTGGCCTTTCATACATACGCTGGAGCGGTGTCCAGACACAAGAAATGTATGTTTTGTAAAGCCATGTAAAACCAACATCCACCTTCATTATGTTGACCCCCCCTTTCGTAGCCACTGTTCCCAACAAACTCCAAACGTTGCAAAACCATACATTTCACTCCCCCTGCCCTCCCTTTGTAGAGTTGGACTGGGTGATTCTTGTGCCGTGGGCTTGTGGATCTGCCGCTGGAACAAATGCCCTCCGAGGATGTGGATCGCTCGGAAGGCTGAACACCGGACCATCAACGTCGCTATGTCGCACCATAGTATTGTTTCTAATAGCTTCTTGTTACTACTAGTAAGGCACTTGTTACTACTAGCGTGGCACCTGTTCCTAGTAGCTTCTTGTTACTACTAGTAAGGCACTTGTTACTAGAAGCGATGCACTTGTTCCTAGTAGCTTCTTATTTGTAATAGTGTGTGTATGTGTGTGTCCCGATAGCCAAATTGGGTTCATTCATGTACCTGCTCCGAATGAGGGACTGAAAACCAAATCACAAAGCCACACAGAATGGGTGGGAGAATTGGGGAAGAGCTGAGAGACAATACGGGGATCACATTCATTGTTTTCGTTCTGATCCTCTCATTGCTTCATTGCTTCCTCTTTCCTTTTGGCAAACTCGAAACTAAAAGAATCCGCTCGAAAGCTCTGCTTGAAGCGGTACTGTACTGTATAATTAATGAAAGATTCTATGTAGTGTGTTTGTCATACGAGCACGGTTGGACCTCAGGTCAAGTCGCACTTTCTGGATTTTGACAAGCTCCGATGCTCCCGAGTGACACGTTCCCAGTGGCGCCTGACCTGCTTGGGAGCCATGCTGTGCCAGGCATAGTGTAGAGTGTAGAGCAATATGCCTGGCAAGCAAAGGAATTCCAGGAGTTTCTTTGGGTTCAAGGGCATGCATATACAGGATCGTAGAGGCATAGCATGGAAGTGAAGTGAAGCGC